GGTTTGCCATACGCTCTTTATGCACGTTCTATTTGAAGGGATATGCCCTCGGGTAGAGTTAGATTTTCTTTCAGGAATTTTTCTAGAAAGTGGATCATTGTCGGGGAGTCTTTTTCGGCACCTTCGGGTACTCCATATATTCTGAGGTTATTCCGCCTGGAACGACCCTCCATCTCCACAAGTTTTCTCTTCGATTCTGGTGTGTGACTAACATGTCTGTGAATACCTCTTCGACATTTTGAATCCTGTCCTCTACCGTTGCAATTATACCTTCTGCCTCCTCCAGTCTAGCTTTAGTATTAGAAATTTCAGCTTTAATGTCCTCCAGTTGGGTTTTGTTATCCCGACGAAAGTCCCTTAATTCTTTAAGAATGAGGCTCAAATCAATAGTTTCTACGATGGAATTGTCTCCCTCCTGGCTGCTTGTTTGTGAGCCGGGGGAAGAGCACGCCGATTCCTCTTCGTGTGTTTCTGTGGGCTGCGTGACTTTCTTAGTTTTACACCTAGTTTCCATGTTTCTCCCCCTTTATTTTAATTATATATCTCACGTAAATCTCTATTTAAATGTTTTTTTGAGAGTTTTCAAAGCCTCGCTAATCGGGAGTGCTAGCTCTATGCTGCCATCTTGTCGATATCCAACCCGGAAGTCAGTCGCACATATTTTGTACATGAATAGAGTGAAAGTGCTTTCTATTTACATAAGCATAAGCAAATTCGTTCTCTGAAGGTGCCTTTATAGAAATATGCGCACAGTCGATGGCTCCGATTACATTGGGAAAACCGGACCTCGCTGAAAATTGTGCTTTAATCTTTGCCTGTTCAACAACAGTGTAAGGAAATTTTATATTTCAGGGTTACAAGCGGATTATGCCGTCCCATACAGCTGGCACGGCGCGACTGAGAAATACCCGATCGATCCGCAATTTCTTGCTAAAAAGCACCTGTGGCTAAGAACCCGCGAGTGGACAGAACTTGTAAAGGAACAGGTATAGCACAATTCCTCATCATCTGCCTTTGTAATGCTGGCCCCAGTTCAGCACACAGCTCCAAAAGGATTGCTCTTAGAGATCTGAATCGACTTAGAAGCCAGTCATCATCATGGGCCAAGAAATCACTATGATCCCTGAATACGCGCTCTCTTCTAATTCTTCCATAAGCTATGTCTTCCAATAACGCAAGAGCTGCCATGGTAGTGGTAATAGTTCGGTCATTTTCTGCACTGTTTTATTGTTATAAATTGATAAAAAATCAGTTGCTGTACATTTGTAAACAATATACAATTAATGTCGGTGTATTGGATAAAGTCAGCGTCATGATTGTGAGTTTAAAAAGGGAAACCACATGCAGTAGCAATGACTTGCCACTAAGTGCTGTCCGTTTACAAAACCCGAGCAGAAACGTGCGTATGCCATGTCTGGAGCTGCCGTGAGAATGTGCGTAGCGGTACGCCAAGTTTCGTTTTTATACATCTCAACTCGAGTGTGGAACCAGACTTATGCAACATTTTCATGCGTACGCATCGTTTATACATCAGGCCCCTGGACTCCTTGGAGACCATTATCTGGAACCAATCTAGGACTTTTAAATTATATGGACTTCAACTGAATTCAAGTTTAATACTGATCCAACTTTAGCTTAATGTTACTGAGTGGATCTTAGCATGTGGCTGCAGCTACGACACTTTTAGACTATTTTTATATCTAGCCAGATAACTTAAGCCAAATATAAGGACTGTCCAATAAGAAGGTCACTTATAGTTCCTCCTGTTGGACAGTTTTCACGTTTGGCTTAAGTTATCCAGTTAATTAATCTTTTCTTTTTAACTAATGTTACCTCTACTTTGCAATTTCAGTCATGGATGGCTATGGACATACTTGCACGTGGCAGACCAGCAGCCTGCACAGCTGCTAGGGAATAAAATAAGCTTTGTATTTCTGCATTTCGAAACCGTCGGAGAGCTATAGGGTCAGGCCTGTTGGGGATCGGGGCTGGTGTGGTGCTGAGGCGTCGCCTGCTGCATGGCGGCACTCGAATCCCAGTTTGAGGAGACTCATTCGGGTAAGCACGTGGAACGTCTTGTCTCTCCAGCAAGATGACCATCTTCCTCTGCTGTCAGGGGGGCTTCGTAAAGTCCGCATTTCTGTGGCAGCACTCTCTGAAGTATGCAGGCCAGGGATTGGCCAGATCCCTGTAGGTAGGTATACCTACTTTTGGTCTGGTCAGTCTGACAGCTGCCATACTCAGGGAGTAGCTGTTAGAACATAAGAACATAAGAACTATACAAACGAGAGGAGGCCATTCGGCCCATCGAGCAGATGTTGCTGTAGCAGATCAGCTCCTTCCGATGGTGTCTGATGTCACTCCTTTCAATGAGCGTATTATGAGACTCAGGCTAAGGAACTCCTTGAGTCATGTCTCATTTTTAGACATTTTACTCACAACCTTGCTCAGTGGTTGACGGGTGCCCATGAGGTAACACTCCTCTGGCCATGGGTGACTTCAACGCGACCACTGGCACTGACAGGGCAGGCTATGAGGATTGTGTCGGTCCCTATGGGTCTGGAGAACGGGGTGAAAGTGGCTCCATGTTCCCTGATTTTGCGAATAGTCAGGGGCTGCAGGTCTTTGGATGCTGGTTCCAACTGGATATCAGGAACAGAGAAGGATGGCTGTGAGGGCTCTGCGGGCAGATAAGGAGGCGTTTGTTAGACGAATTTGTGAGCAGGTGACACACCATCTGTGGTCTAGTGACCCACGTCCTGCTTACAGAGGAATCAAAGCATTACGCACATCTGAATCTGTTCCTCAGAGACTTGCAGTCAGGGCAGGTGATGGGACGGTCCTCATGGATGACACTGCAGTTGTGACCCACTGGGCCGGCTACTTTGAGCAGTTGTTTAAAGCTGACCCTCCAGCTAGAATGTTGAACATCTCTGGGTCCACATATCTTGAAGCTGATCCTCCAATCAGTTGTGAACCAACTAATCTCACTGAGATTGCACAGGTGGTGAATCAGCTGCGGGAAGGGAAGGCCGCAGGGATCTGTGGTATCCGGGAAACGGAAGGGTGATCGTCTGGATTGCGGCAACTACAGGGGGATAACACTGCTTTCAGTGCCGGGTAAGGTCCTTGCTAGGGTCATCGTTAACAGAATCCGTGATCACTTGCTTGCCTCTCAGTGACCGGAGCAGTCTGGTTTTATGCCTAAGATGTTTACCATCGACCGTATCCTGGCACTGGGGGTCCTCATCAAGCGCAAGCGCAAATATCAGGAGAGGTTCTTTGCAGCCTTTGTTGATTTTCGTAAGGCATTTGACTTAGTTGATCGAGTTGCCCTGTGGGACATCCTGAGACTTTGCAGGATCCCCCCAAAGCTGCAGGACGTCATGGCTGGCTTGTACACTGGTACCGAGAGTGCTTTGCAGAATGGAGGGAGAATCTCTGTGTTTTTCCCAGTTGATTCTGGGGTTTGCCAGGGGTGTGTTCTTACTCCTACTCTTTGCCTGTATGGACTGAGTTTTGGCCAGTGTCTTGGGGTCCAGCAGCTGTGGGACGTCCGTTGGTTTAGAAAGATTTACTGATTTTGACTTTTCCAACGATGCTGTGACCTTAGCAGAGTCAATGGAGGCTCTGATAAGGACTCTCAAGAGACTGAGTAAGGAGTGTGAGTATCTGAGATTGCAGGTGTCCTGGATAAAGACCAAGATCCAGGCATTTAATGACTTCTTCGGCACAGCCATCGGTAGTGTGTCTGAAGAAACTGGACTCCTTCGGTATTGTGTCTCTTTGAAGAATCCTTGGGTACCGCTGGTTTGACTTTGTGTCGAATGAGCGGTTGCTAGAGCAGTCCCAAATAAGGCACATTACCTGCATTGTGAGGGAGCATCAGTTATGGCACTACAGCCATTTGGCGCGTTTCCCTGAGGGTGATCCGGCTCACAGGATACTCATTACTGAAGACCCACATGGCTGGACCAGGCCAAGGGAACGCCCATGTATCACCTGGCTGCAGCAGATGCATGGCTATTTCCGGAGGGTGGGACTGGACCGTGTATCTGCCTTTCACTATGTGGTGGGTGCAGCAACGCACTGCATCAGCGCATGCTCCCCAACCTGACCTGACCTGTATTTCTGCTATCCATCAAATAAAAGTACAGACAAGGCCAATCATCACTGTGTTTTACCCGTTTTTAACAGGCCACAGTAGTTTACAGACACAGGATTGCATGTATAAACATAACCAAGAAGAAAAAAGAATAACTACGAAATTCTAAATTAGATGTACATTTTCACAAAAAACCAGGAAAATTCATGTCCCAGGAAAGAATATTACTTTTCCGGGACAGTTGCTCAAAAAAAAAAAGGGCAATCCCAAGAAAACTGGGACAGGTGTCAACCCTAACTTCCATACTTACAGGAACCCTGTAAACAAGATGTTCTGCCTAATGAGAATAAACTCAAGTTTGACACGTGTTTGCAGACAGAGGTAGCAGAACATTTACTTTACTATGATCTTTAAACACACATACACACCCAGACAAAGGAACTCTTTTCATAAAGTCAGACAATTTCCCTGTATCCTGAATAAAGATCAAGATGATGTACAGATGCAACCTATGGCATTTACAGTACCTAAGGTAAAGGGGTTAAGTCACTTTGGGAAGGACTAGACTCACAACGCATCAGATTATATCCCCAGGAAAAAAGATAAATGTGGCACTTCAAAGGAATAAAAGAAGAAAAAAGAGAGGGAACAGAGCTGCTTAAAATAGCGAAACTGTAAACCCACTGAAATTTCTCCTGATTTTAAAGACAAAGAAGTCAGAGACAAAACAGATCAACATATATTCCAGACAGTTCATCTCTGTTGATGCCATATCGCAAACAACTGTATTGATAAGGTGAACTAATGCACATTGCATGCCTAGATGAAGCTTAATGAAGCTAATTAATTCTTTCAACCATTTTTATTGAAGAATGGAGAAAAATCACAAACTTACTCTGTCAAAAGCCAGACACTTTTAACATCGCCATCTTCTTGCTGACTGACCAGAGTCTTGATGTCTTCGATTGCATGATCCACAGTGCCAGGCTGCAGAAGAAAAGTGTTGCTATTCACCTTATATATCATTACCTACATGACAACCAAATATTGCAACTGTATATCCAACAAATATGATCTCCAAGGAGAGGAATGCACTCACACAGTACTATTTATATGCCACTTTGGCCACCAGTTTAAAAACTTTTTGGTAAATTGTATAAGTAATTTTTCCATCTATAGAGTACATTCCTATTCATCATGTGTAAGTTAACTGAGTCAAGCAAAGCAGACCAAATACTATTAATCTGGTGGAGTAAATATGACTTAAATTTTCAGACGATGCAGAAAGAAGTCATTTAGGCTTTTTATCTTATATCAAATATACAAATTCTTTCTTTCTGTGGCGACTGAAATTCCTGTATTGCACTCTCTTTTGTCTTGCACTGTCATGTATTTTATTGTACAGCAAGTTTTATTGTCCCCTACTATGCACCTGCCACCTGCTTGAAAATGTAAACCATTTTGCTAGAATATGAGTCATGCTCTGAAATGCTGGCCTTAGATCAGGCTAAATATTGAACTGTAAACATTTCAAAGACATTCATGGTGGTGCAGCCCTTACACACTTCAACTGTGGAGGTACAGAAATAAAGTTAAAAGCTTCCTATATTCATCTGGGGTTGTTTCTCAGATAAATCAGATGTTGGTTTTACTTTGCACTAGAATATACCATTTTCATTATACTACTGATCAATTAAGTAATTTTCATGTCCCTTTTTCAAGCATAGCCAGCATGAGCCAAGTGCTCACATTTGGCCATGCAAATGAAGTGTAGCCACACATTTATTAAAATATAAAATTAGAATAAAAACTATTTTTTTAAAAGATGGTGTTTGCCGGGAGGTACACGGCCCACAAATGATGCAAAACCGAAATAGATCTTTTACAGATTCCACCAATTCATTCATCCAACTTCTAAACATTTATCTTGGTTAGGATCAGAGGGGCAACCTGGAGGCAGTATGGGGCACAGGGAGGGTGTACACCAGGGGTACCCAATCTTATCCGCAAAGGGCCGGTGTCTATGCAGGTTTTTGGGATAACTTGCAGGTCAGCTGTTCAAACCCAGGTGTGAGGATTCTTTCAGCCAATCAGTCCTCTAATTAGTAATCCAATTAGGGAGTTGCAGCGAAAACCCGCATACACACCGGCCCTTTGCGGATAAGATTGGGTACCCCTGGTGCACACCAAAGAAGATATACCACTTTTTCACATGGCACATACATGCAGACAGTTTAGACTCACTGGTTATGCAATAAGAAATTTACAAACGAGAGGAGGCCATTCGGCCCATCAAGCTCGTTTGGGGAGAACTTAACTAATAGCT